TGGCCATAATTACTGCACGGACCTGCGTGCGCGGTGACGACGTCGAGGCGTACCGCGGCTTCAAAAACCCTCGTCGAGGAACTCCGAAAGCACTCCCTTCCTTTCCGCCGGGTCACTGATCCCTTGGAGAGCGGTGCGGATTCTAGCGGCGACCAGGGTTCTAGTGTCCGGGTTGGAGGCTTCATCGTCATCTTCTCTCTCCGGTTCTTCTTCGGCTTCCATAACTCGGTTCTTCCTGAAAGGTTGCTTCCCTTTCCCATTCTTCTTCGGGCAGTTCCTGGACAGATGTCCGATCTCGTGACAGTTGAAGCATCGTCCTTCCTTGTAATGCTTGTCGCGTTCTTCGGCTGTCATGCGGTCCACATCCATAGCGTCAGGATCTCTCTCCTTGGCCTGATTGTGATTGTAGCGCCGCGGAATGAAGTGGTTCTTCTTGTGGCTCTGTCCTCCTCCTCGATCATAGGCTTGTCCCAAGCGCCATTGTTGCTCGAGACGTGCTGCCGTCTTGTACAGGTTGACTGCGTCTGTTGGCATGGCTGAAAGTCCAAACATCTTGTCACGGAGCGGCTTGTTTAGCCCTTGGTAGAAGAAGTCCGCAATGACGTCAAACTGGGAGATGCCGCATCGAGAGATGATGTTCTTGAAGTCGATGATGTACTCATCAATGGGCTTCTTGCCCTGGGCGAGGTTCCGGAGTAGGACACGTGCGCTTGCAGCGTCGTCCACGTCTTCGAACGACTCTTTGATGCTGTTCTGGAATGATGCCCATGTTCCGTAGCTGGGCTGATTGCCGTTCCCCGCATTTGCTTGTGCTTGGGCTTGCGTGATATAATCGCTGGCCCATGGTCCTGCAGTTCCTCCCGTCATCAGCATCAACACGAAGATGATCTTCTTCTCGTCCTGGTCGAATTGGGTTCCGTTGAATAGGAAGTACAGCGTGCACTTCTGTAGCCATCCTTTGGACTCTCCTCGTTCTCCTGAGAATTCCGGAGGCATCTTCAGCTTAAAGCGCTCTCCATTGACTTGCTCTGCCATGATGTTTGGTCGGTTCACGGGTGCGGGTGGATTCGGTGGAGGATTTGGGGGTTCGACCGGGCTTTCGGATCGACTTGGGGGTTCTTCAACTGGTCTTTCTGGTGGGTTCTCTGCCACGGGGGTAGGTGCGCTACTTGCACTGGATCGTCGAGATCCACTAGTGGAGCTTCCTTCTGGTTCGATATTTCTGGGTGTCGGGTTTGCGGATGCGATCTGTTCGATGGGGGTCGGGACTGGGGTTACTCGCGGTGGTATCGGAGGTTCTCGTCCAGTGGTTGTTCGGTATCGTTCGTCGTAGTCAGAGTACGTTGCTCTGAGGTCTCCAAGGGTAGCTTCCTTTTGGATGTCTGACGCGTAATCCCAGCTGTCAGGGTTCTTCGGGACAATGAGTCTATTGTCGTAATAGACTAGTCCGGTGTTCGGGTTGAAGGACCACTTTGGTCCTTGGGCTGGGAGAGGTTCCGTTGTCGGGTTCTTCTGCGCTACCGTCGGTCAGAGGTAGCGGCTCCGGGTCGTTCGATGGTTCAGGCTAGATTGTCTGGATCTAGGCAGATCGACTGTCGAGTAGGCGAGCTCGACCTTATGTTAAGACGACACCTTCGAGGGTCGTGGTAACGTTCAGGTGCAAGGGCCTAGCAGGCAGGAGAGGAGACTCGAGTTCAGGGGTGAAGGTGATAGATAACCAGGTCGAGCTGAGGACCATCCTCAGCTCTCCAGGGGTCCTAATATACATAGAAGCCATGCTGAAACGGTGCGTACTAGGGGAGGCAAGCCTGCTACCTACGGGACCGTAACAATGAGGCGCTGCCTCATGGTGTCCGCACCGTAGCTGTACCGTATCCGCGTGTAGTCCATCCACATCAGTAACATGAGGCGTAGGTGAGGCATAGGTGAGGTGCGATCAAAGTCCATGTCCGAGACGCCCGGACCATTGTAACAGTGCGGCTCCCTTTAGTTCCCAGCTGGAGTCCTACGGGCTCCTGCAGATCGATTCTGCTTGCTTGGCACAAGTACGCGAAATTCTGGGGTAATCGAATCGGTGGTGCACCCCGAATC